GAGAGAGAGAGAGAGAGAGAGAGAGTATGTGTGTTGTGCGTGTGCGAGATGTGGATGTGTGCGTATGTGTGTGTGTGTGTGTGTGTGTGAGAGAGAGATATAGATAGATAGATAGAGAGAGAGAGAGAGAGAGAGAGACAGAGAGAGAAAGAGAGAGAGAGAGAGAAGTGGAAAGAATTGGCGTGTTGTACGAAAGACGGTTACAAATCTTACTTGAAAGTTGAAGTTTACATTAAATATAATGAATCTAAGCAATATTTCGGATACTATTATTATCTAAATTTTTCACAAGTTTCTCCACAGTTCTCAACAGACAGGACTACTTAAAAATGGAGAGGTAACCTAACCCCCGAGAGGCCTCTATTCGGCAGAAAAGAAGAAACAGAAAGCATAGTTATAATTTGAGTAGGTATGGCATGATGCAACACATTAAGTGGGATTAATGTTTGAGAATTCTACTACTCGCAACAGCTCAGAACTACCGTAAGCTAACAAACCGAATTTTTCTTTTTTGGCGCTATTTTTTACATTTCAAAAATCGATAGCCTGATCAGTTACCCTACTGTGTGAAAAAATCAGAGTGAAACAGTGACCAGTTAAAAAAATAGAATTAAAATTTCGAAAGAATACCTTTAAAAAAAAAAAAATGGTTACACTTACCAACAAAAAACCCCTCTTAATCTCGAAACTGCTGTGAATAAAAAAGGCGTTTTGTCAGCGTAGGTCAGAACAAGGAACGCCATGGTACCACAGTTTTAGCCTTTGGTCTTTTTCAAACTTTTGGGACTTTATTGAAGTCCGTAAAATAGAATTAAAACAGAAGTTGGGGACAGCACCCAAAATGTGATGAGAATTTAGGAACGCGTTTTATTTTCAACGTATTAATCCCAGAATGATCTGATAAAATGCATTTATTTTCTGTAAAACGCAGCCGTAAGAAGGATTTATTTACGATTCTTGAACCTATCTACGGACCGAAAGGCGAAGTTGCGACCTGCTATGGCAAACTGCAGGCTGCATGGGACGACATTACGTTGTTGTGTCACCAATCATCTTCTTTAATAATTATGTCTCATTAGACAGACGGAGAAATTCAATACCCCTCCCCACCCCCACCC